CTGCACTCGGTTTGAATTCTTGGGTTTGTTGAGTCAAGGTACGTCCTTCGATAATGTTTGTACGTCCTTCGGTAATGTTTGTTTAGCTTCTAAAGAAGTTGCTACTATTGTTACGCAGCATTGTTGTTTGTTTAGTAAGACAGACATCCTCTGTAATGCTGTCTTGTTAGTTACCATGAATTATATAATCAGATTTTTGGATCTTCACATCTTTAAACAACTTTTTAGAAGTTTCACACTTGCTCTGCCAGACCACTAAGCCCACGCGGTAGGAAAAATGTAAATATTTTGGCGTTGTCTCTTTTTACTGTTTTTCGTGCACATTTTTATTTGCAGAGTTTTAATGAATGCCGTAGATATATATATATATAAAAAATAAAATGTAATTAAAGCATTGCAAAGTCAAACAGTTTAAATACAAATTGATTATTTTTATTAATTATCGCAGGCCACCGCGTTCAGCAGCACTTGCAGTGTACACAAGTGACAAAAAATAAAATAAAAATCCCTTGGTTTGTAAGCTAAATATTATCATTTTCAATCATTAGGCAAAGACTCCGGTAGCAGTTGCGGTTTTATTTATTTTATTATCAGCATCTATATAGCGCCAACATATCCTATATTATAAGAGGGGGAGATTTAACAATAAATGAGACAATTGCAAAGAACAATAGGTTGAATAGGACCCTGCTCAAACATGCTTATTTATCACATACAATGCTGACCTGGCACAAACAGTGCATACCATGCAAATTTATTTAAACCCTAATGGTGCCGTGGAATGTCTGAGCAGAAAAAAGCACGCCCAGTGCGTCGCAATGACACTGGTGGCATGTGTTTAATACTCCGGAGGTATGTGTGCTTTTTTCTTATCTATGCTGCACTTCACAATCCAGTAATCACTTCAGTAGAATGTATTGGTGTAAATATTTGAGAACTGTCATTTAAAAAAAAAAATTACCGTCCCTTTAAGCATTAATCACAAGATCAAATATAAGTAATATCAAAGCCCTTTCGCAAGTTGCCTTTCTGCCTTAGGACAACTCAAAAGTTAATATGTTTAGTAGTCGATCTGCTAACTCTCTTGTAATAGTTGATCTTTCCAACAATTTGGAACCCTGACAACCTCCGCGTCAAAATAGTCTGTAACTTGCAGGAATAACTTCTGTCCCTTTAAGAGACTAAACATGGTTTTGTTTGGCTGCTGGGGAAGTGACTATTCCTGTACAAACAATGCACCTTGTTACAGCAAAAAATGTCAGAGTATTATAAAAGACGCGGTGTAGGTGGTTGGCATAATATTGTACCTTTATTGACGGTGTTCTCTGTTCTTTAGCGTTTCCAATTACCCCGTAAGCCGGTCTGTTATGGCATTTGGAAGCTCTCCTTTTATTTCTACATCTGCTCCTGATTTACTATTTTGGGTAGCGGCATTGTTTTGTAATGTCCAATTCGCAAGTAGCTGTATAGAGAGACTGTAGAAAGTATTCACTAATGTGTGACTTTCTGGGAATTCTAAGTGAATCCTAAATTTTAGGACAATGGTAAAAGCGTAGCTGTTCTGGAAAATTTGTTTTACAATTCAACTATTTTTGCCTAAAATAAAAATTCACTCGGATTTCAGTGAATACACCTGTGTAATGTTGGTCTTTCTACCTGTTATAAACAATGACTGATTTTATTTATTTTTAAGTGTTTTAAAGGGACAGACAATATTCCACAGATCTATACATCAGATTCTGATTTAGGGATTAGTCTTCCGTGAAGCTCTGGACTTGCATCATGGGGAAATGTTGTACTTAACTTGTTGGCCTTCATCAGACTGGGGGAGGTCCTCTCAGAAAGGAACGTTCCAAGGACAATATGGCGTCTTGTTATTATATATAGCACATATAAATCAATGTCTTCTGTATAAGATTTCATTTTAAAGTGTTCTGCCTGACTGTTCCGTTAAAGCAGGCGTGGCCAAAAGCATACCTCACATTAGCTGAAAAAAATAGATGCTGGGTGTCTATTTTGGCCATTCCTTTAAAGGGATACTGTAGTCACCCAGACCACTTCAGCTCAATGAAGTGGCCTGGGTACCGGGTCCCTCAGGTTTTAACCCTTTAGGTGTAAAAATAATTTTTCAGAGAAACTGCTATGTTTACAAGCAGGGTTAATCCAACCTCTAGTAGCTGTCTTCCTGACAGCCGCTAGAGGCGCATCTGCAATGCTGGATGCGAAATTCGAATCCAGCATGCAGAACGTCCATAGGAAAGCATTCCGCTCCACTCGGGAGCTGACGTCGGCGGGGGAGGAGAGGTCACCAGTGCCGAGAGAGCCCGGTGTTGGATTAAGGTAAGTGGGAGGGGGACCCTGAGGGTGGGGCACTATAGTGATCCTTTAAATATATATTTTTTATTTATTATTTGTTTGCGTATTTACTAACTCACTCTTTTACTGTTATCCCTCTAACCCTCTTGTTATCTTTTCTCTGGCCCACTAGTTTCTGGGTAATATCTGCCCAATAGGTCTGTTTTTAGTGTGTAAACCAATTCAGGAGAATGGATTTTGAAGGACATTATTATTACTAGAAATACATTAACATTCTACTAAATTGGCTTTTATCGGTGTGGGCCTGTTACAGAATATTTTGGGGAATTTTCTGCTAAAACACATGCCAAGTAGTATTTTGTTTTGCTCACAGTGGCGTCCAAGTAGAACTATGGAAACCCCCTCTCCAGAGGGGCTTCAAGGTCTCTGTTTGTGCAGAAACATCAGGGGAGCTTTCTCAATGTCCCATTATATCCCTTAAATAAACTTCACGGAATTACCAGAAGTCCACATCCTGAAATTCTGGCTCCATAACCCGTTACGTGCCGGCTTCTGTCAATCTGTCTAATCTATCATCTTTTTTGTCAGCATTCTTAATACCATAACCACTGCAGCTCATAGCAGTGTTTGTGTTGCAGAAACACCACTTTTCTAAGGAAACGTTTCCAGACGCGTTGACATAAAACAGGACTTTCCCTGTTCTTAAACCCAGGCCCTGCTTATTGTTTGTGTTTGTATAATTGTTAAGCATGTGCATGTAGATACTGTAAGGAGTAGGCTAAGTGGTGCTTAATGATTTAATAAAAAATATTATTACCCTGGATCGGTTTAGTGCAAACAGTCGCTGGTGCGTCCTCTTGATATGTACTAATAAATAGAAAAAGAAAGCACTAGGGATGCAAATTGGTGTAAAAAGGGTCTCCACATGCAACTCAATATTTCATCTAAGAGCCAGAGCCTATTTGCACCATAACCACTTCAGTGAGCTGTAATGGTTACAATGTAAAAGGGCCAATTTAGGTAATTTATGTGCATTATAATGTAATAAACCTATGTTCATGTTGCAGGGCTCTAACTGGCCGGCCAGACTCCCAGGGAAGTCACCATCCTACAAATGGCAAGCAAAAAGGAAGCGGTCCTAAAATACCATTAATGCGAATGTGTGTATAGCAGTATGTGTGTTTTGCATTGTGTGCCTGTCAGTCTGTATTGGAGCAGTGTGTCTAGCAGTGTGTAATTGTGTGTGTTTCTGACCTGTGTCTGTTGGTGTCTGCGTGTGTGTATGTGTCCGAAATGTGTACATGCGTGTGTCTTATCGTCTCTGTCTGGGAGCATGTGTGATATGTACACACAACTGTGCATGCAGATTCCCCAACACAAATACTACAAACAGCCAGCACACAAACACACACACAGCTGTACAGGCAGCCTGACCCCAACAGCACTGACTGTCCACATACACCCCTCCACCCCCTCACAAGCAGCCCTATACTCAACACCACACACAAAACAAAATAGGACCAGCATTCCAAAAAACTTTAACCCCTTTGTTTTGGCACAGTGCCCTTAAAATGTTAAAAAAGGTTTGACTACCACTGCACTAAAGTGTCGAGGTCCCTTATTAAAGATAGAGTTGAACAATGAATGGACCTCTAGAAATAATTGTATCTGTATTTTGTCAACTATACAACAGATACATTAAAATTAAATACTTCAAGTCGAATTCTTACATTGGCCGCTCTTTCCCTGCCATGTTGTCTGAGTTGTCCAAAGAGCAAAATATTGTGGGATAAATTATAAAGCATTCTGGGTAAGGTGCACATGTGAATTAATTGAACATTCATGTCACTCCACCTGTTTCCACCATTATAACATTGGGTATTTTTCCAATATCTGGTCATTTAGGCGCTTGCTACCTATTTGATTAGCACAGTGTGCAGATAAAATTACTTTGTAGATCATTACGGGACTCTGTCAAGCTATGCGTGACACGAGTCCGGTAATGACGCGCTGTCCATCTATCAGTTGTTGAGATAATACGCAGTGCTTCTAAATGTTAAAGAGACATCCTGTCCGGAGATGTTTGAACTTCTGCCAGTGTCTGCTTTCTTTCGTTATTGTCTTAGAAGTGAAGTTAAAAAACAAAAGTAAGTTTTCTTGAATGGAGTCAGATATCCGATTTGTTCCCGGCATCAGGTCCCCGGCACGCATTCCTTGAGCTTTGAAAGAAGGGATGATCATATCAAAGCTGCATTATAAGAAATCCCGCTGGTTCTTGTATTTTATTCCTCTCAACATCACAAGAACTGACTAGCTCTTTCCGAAAGAGGAATAAAAACGCACTTTGCGGTTTCTTGTATTGCAAACGCCGAGTCCTGCTGCTTGTCATTCAGAAATATCCTCCAGAACAAGAGGCTCTGTGATGTGATATGAAAAGCTTTGTGTCTCTCTTGCCTCGCAGTGACAATCTCCTTGGCTGTTGTTCAACACTTATTTTATTTTATTTATTTTTTTTGTGCAGTTTTCCATATTTGAATGTCTTAAAGGAGAAAGCATGCTTTTGTCCGTCCTATCGTGATCTAACACGTTGGATTATTTGTAATTTAACTAGGGGGAGAATTTGTGCTAAATGCTAAGCTGGTCCCTATTTTCTTGTTAATATATTGTAGATGCTATTCAAAAGAGTCATCTAGAGCAAGGTTCTCCAATTCTGGCTCTCCAGATGTTGCTAAACTACAACTCCTATAATTCTCTGGCTGTCTATTTCATGCAAAGAATCATGGGAGTTGTAGTTTATCAACATCTGGAGGGCTAGCATTTGGAGAACCCTGGTCTAGAGCGTCCAGCAATCTAGAATATATTGTTGGAAAATTCTATTCTGTGAGCATATTGATAAAACTTTGATGGTTGGTAGTATTAAAGAAGTTTAACCCCTTAAGGACTCATGACATGTGTGGCATGTCATGATTCCCTTTTATTCCAGAAGTTTGGTCCTTAAGGGGTTAAGGGACATACAAAGCACCATCACAGCTACGGTTGTAGAATGTGACGTCAGATAAGAACCATTCGGCCCATCTAGTCTGCCCAGTTTTCTAAATACTTTCATTAGTCCCTGGCCTTATCTTATAGTTAGGATAGCCTTATGCCTATCCCACGCATGCTTAAACTCCTTTACTGTGTTAACCTCTACCACTTCAGCTGGAAGGCTATTCCATGCATCCACTACCCTCTCAGTAAAGTAATACTTCCTGATATTATTTTTAAACCTTTGTCCCTCTAATTTAAGACTATGTCCTCTTGTTGTGGTAGTTTTTCTTCTTTTAAATATAGTCTCCTCCTTTACTGTGTTGATTCCCTTTATATATTTAAATGTTTCTATCATATCCCCCCTGTCTCGTCTTTCCTCCAAGCTATACATGTTAAGATCCTTTAACCTTTCCTGGTAAGTTTTATCCCGCAATCCATGAACCAGTTTAGTAGCCCTTCTCTGAACCCTCTCTAAGGTATCAATATCCTTCTGAAGATACGGTCTCCAGTACTGTGTACAATACTCCAAGTGAGGTCTCACCAGTGTTCTGTACAATGGCATGAGCACTTCCCTCTTTCTACTGCTAATACCTCTCCCTATACAACCAAGCATTCTGCTAGCATTTCCTGCTGCTCTATTACATTATCTGACCACCTTTAAGTAATCTGTTATGCTACCAGGAATCCTGTGGCACTGTCCATATGTAAACTATCCAACAATTTAAGAATGGTCTGACTCTTACATGCCTCGATCGGGCACCTGTCTGTATCCTGTTTGAGCTGGTATGCCAACGCCATCAGCTGACACTGACCAATGAATAATGTCAAATTCTGGTATGAGTTGAAAACCTATCCTTGGAGATGTAAAAACATTTTTCTCCAATCCTGGCAGAGTACAGGTAACTAGAAACCACAGGGTGCCACTGCAAAAATAATTGCGTCTACCTCCTACCCCACACGTCCCTGTCCCCCCCCCTACATGCAGACAAACGGATACACATGCAGACACATAGATACATACACTTAGGCACTCACACATACAGACACACACTCACAGACAAACACATACACACGCACTCAGACACACATATACTTACAGACACACAAGCTGCGTCCCTTGCGACCGTGTTAGGTACGCAACTGGTTACGGCATATAGAGGCCCTTTGTCAGTGTCGTCTTGCACATTTGTTTAGAACTGCAACAATTTGCTAAAATCACTGCAGCTATAATCCCACCTCACTAAGCTTCCACTTGCATTATTCACACACATAATCATTATATTAATCATTATCATAATCTTAATTTACATTGTATGCCAGACTGTGCCTTGTAGTAATTATAATGGGGCAAGCAAATGAAAGGTTTGCTGTGGAATTGGGCAATACTTTTGATACTTAATTTTTTTTAATGTAACATTTTGTGATTAAATACTGGGCATGAGACCTTAAAACACACAAGCCCGACTCTATCTGTCCCGCACGTTTCGTGCCAAATCACTATGATCAAAGTACACGAGTGAAGACAAAACAAAAATATCCAGCAAGTTTGTTATAGTACTACATAGAGACAAAGAAAAATAATCTGCTGGAAGTGGGAGACATTCATTTTTATATTTTTTTTTTTGTTGCTTTTTCCTGAAAGGTAATTTAAATCGGAGGCCACTAAGTGGATCATCTGCTGCTCAAAAAGATTAAGAAGAATTGTAATATAGAGAGGAAATTCCATAAGAAATTAATTTGCATTTAGTTCGAATAGGGATTTAGAGGCTAAATCCCGTAAACTGCCATATTGAATAAATATTTGAAGCCATATGGTGATTGACATCTGAGTTTAACCCCATCTTTCCCAAAGATATTAATTGGGTTTGCTGCAGCCGGTCCAGCTGAATTGGCTACTAAGCGGTTAAATAACTGATCCCATCCATGCCTTACTTTAATATTTGTGCTCATGTTCGCTTTTAATCACAGCTTTGCATAAAATCTGATTTCAAAGAGATATATATAAAAAAAAAACCTCATGCTTACCACTGTGATGCTGTAAAAGTCTCGGAAAAAATGTTATATTCCAAATTCAAGGTCACTAAAGTAATTTGAATTATTCAATATTTGAATATATCCGTATTAGAATATAGGGTAAGAGGTCATAGTGGCAAACCCTGAATATTACCTTAGTCTCCCCAAACACAGGATTAAAGAAATAAAAATGGAAAATATATAACTGTATCAAATTATGTAGCTGTAACCTTAAATGGGCACATGCAAAGTTTTTCAGAACCGTATATACCCTTCGTCCCAAACCATTGACATTCTTTTATCGTGCAATATTTTATTACAAATGATTTTAGATATTGTTTAATAATATCTAATTTTGCTTTAATACTCGATTTTAACTGATGTAGATTTATAAATGTGTCTCGAATTGCTCAATAGATATAGGACAAAGTTTTACAAGTGGAGCAGTCACCATAGAAACCAGTACAATGTTCATGTGGATTCTGATGGTTTCCTAGGCAACCGCTTCACTTTTTAAAACGTGCCAAACTTTTTTTTTTTTTTTTTTGTAAGTTTTGGTGACACTTATATTTCCCACACATTTCTGGCTATTTATCATAAATGTTAATGAAGATTTATGAGGCTGTTGTAGGTAAGACCGAATAAGTTTTGCATTTTTTTGTGAATCTCTGTCGTCTATTTTATTTCGGTCTCGTTAATTGCTCCAATCTCATATTTTCTGTCGCTGCAGGAATGCACAAAATATATGTCTAGTAGTACCTCTGCTTGCACTGATGTCCGTGATGATGGGAGATATTGGAATAGAAAAATGATAAAACTCTGTTGTCAAAGCGACGCCGGCAGCTCGCTAAATCCGTTTTTTATTCAGATTTTATTTGATTATGTGACTGGAGGAGATTAAATGATAGATTTGCTTCATTATCTCTCTTTGGCATCCTATTGTGCTTAAATAACGGGATTTTCAATAATGATGATAAAATATAACGTGTAAATGTTTTATGATATTGCTAACCAAAACATGCACGTGCACTCTAAAGGGCCACTCTAAGCACCGTAATCACTATAGACTTTTTAGTGTTTATTGTTCAAGGAGTTTGTGGGTGCAGTATCCATGGGTTCAGATTTAGCAAACCAGAAGACTTTCATTATTGTCGAACCACGGAAACGGTTAACGTGAACATATTGGTAAACTGAATTCACCTTTCAGTGATACTTGTGTAAATCGTTTAGTATTCTATAATCTGCAAGTTATGTTATTAATGTTGTGGTCTAGATTTAAGTCTGTAACTTTTTTATGCTTTACACAAAGGTATATCTCAAATTATGAATACCGTATGATCCAGTGACAACATACCTCCCAGCTGTCCCAGATTTGGCAGGTATTCAGAATACATGCAAAATCTAGGACAGCTGTGAGGCATGTTGACACTGCATACTGTAAATTCCTACACAAATTGCCAACGGGTTTATTTGAGGTTTAATAAAAAAAATAAAAATATATATATTTCTGTACACTTCCGGCTTCCATTGCATATAATGGAGTGTTCAAAAGCAACATGAAATGTACATATTGCAAAAAAAATTAAATAAAATTAAACAGTTGAGAATTCGACTGGAAATTGTTGCTGTTCTTGTGGTTGCAAGGGATTCTGTGTTTCGCACTCTAAGCACCATTACTACTGCATCTGTTTGTGGTGATTATGGTGCTAGCTGGATACTGACTGCATCGCACAGTTCTGTGTCAAACTGTTTTTGCACGGGTTAATACAGATGGTCTCATATTCAGTGGTGGCTCACCGTCTTTCATTGCTTATTACTGACGTGGAAGATACACTTTGCCCATATTTGTATGGCATTGGTTGTCTGCGCATGTCCGTTGCATTGTTACCACATGTCCCCTCTCTAGATGGACCTCCGTTGTGCCAGAAGTTTGTGGCTGCTGTGGCAGGTGAATTTTCGTTCTTTTTACATACTCTGTTTACATAGCGCCAGGCTCAGAAAAGATGCTAAGGAAATGATTTGCTTCGATGAGACTCCACAGTTGCAGTCCACGTCAAAAAAATATTATCCTCCTCGAAGAACTCATTTATTGGGAAGAACTTTTATTTTTATATAGCAGAGAACAGAAGCAGAATAAAAGGAATACGCCAAATTGCAGCTGGTTTTGAAGGCAGAGTGATTACTGCAGTGACTCATTGTCTCCGTAAAATGTCTGAAGATCTCTGTTTGACTCTGAATGAGGGCGATTGTAACTTTTGGTTAGATTAATAATGGTGTGTGGCTGAGAATGGCTTTAGTGGCCTTTCATATTAATTTCACTGCAAAGGTCCCGCCACTTATAAGATTTTGTGGGTTTCCCCTCATTCATAACAAATCTCTTTTTAATTCTTTTTTTTTTTCAGAGCATTAGCTCATTCGTAAAATCCGACATTAAATGTCAGACATCTTTTGTCTTATATTTTATTTTTCCTTGTAGATTGTTCCAAGAATCATCTACTTGGCCACCACCAGTGTAAGCCCTTGACATGCGCATAGTCGTCTTTTTGGCATAGCCTTACATTACCTAACTTACCCCCCCCCCCCTTCTCAGAAAGACACGGACACTAAATTAAAGTGGGTAAATGTCACGGCTTTAATAATTAAAAGTTTATATATATTTTTTTAGTTTTTTTTCCACAAAGGGGTCATTGTCAGACCAAATAGTATAACAAAATATGTACACAAAAATGGAGGTGAGTGGATAGAAAACTCTAACACCTAAAAGTGGTATCTCCTACACCACTTAAAAACAAATAATATACAT